CGATCCCATTAAAAAAAAAAAGAAAAAGGAATACATTTTACAAATAATACTAACCCACTAAACCATATTTTCTCTAATAAATTATACAGTACTGATTTCAAAAGGCTTGGAAACACAGCATACTATCACAAGAGTACATTTTCGTAGTACTCCCAGAACTTGCCATCATCCTCTAGTTAGTAATTGCACCTCCAATTTTCATAGTGGCTCGACAATAGCAACAGCCGCCCTATTTCTATTCATTTTACTCCTTCGGCAAATATTCAAAAAAATTACCATGAATAACTGTCATTTGGCTGTTGGCATTGCCGCGTCGTTGACATTGCTGTTGTTATTCTAAGCTGTGTACATTCCATGGAGAACGTGAATGTGAAAATGGACATGAACCAGGACATGTGTACATGTCCTCCAAGCGGTCACGTCCACTCTGTATGACCAGGACGTGCAATTTTTTCCCAACGCTAGCAAGTGTAGCTCGGACCACGGACAACGCAATAAGCACAAGTTTTATGTAATAAAATTAGCTCACACACACATACGCAGAACACGCAATATACACGCAGGACACAGGACACATCAGTGGCTGATAAGATAATTTTATTTGGCTGTTATTACATAAAGTCATGTGAGTAGCGGAAATGAGTTGAAGTTAAGTAAAGCGATACGTGCCGGCCAGCTGAGACGTGGCTTCCTCCAACAAGTACGAGTATATCCTTAGCTTGAAAGCTGAACGAACAGTTTAGCATGGCAAGCATATAAGGAAATGGTTTTTAATAAGATAATTGACTTGTTTGCGGTTTGTTTAGCTGACGGCTATTGAATTGAAGGGGGAGTTCAAAAAAGAGGGATACAAAGCTTAGTTCTAGTTCAAATACTTCTAGTTGTGGAATGAATGCAGAATAGATAACAACATTTTATTATTTAAATCAACATACAACGCAGAGAACAAGTATACAGCGATTATACAGATCGTGTTTTTCTTTTTCATGAAATAAGTCTGATTGGCTAATAAATTGTCTTTGTTCTTCTACAGGTAGCAAATGAATATAGGAGTTTATTACTATTTTATGAATAAAAACTATCATTTTATAAATATACGACTTCATTTTTAACTGATTATTTAGTACTGAGTTCTGTAACATTAAGTTTCTTCTAAATTTGATAAAACAGTAGAAAATACGAAGCCATATCAATCACAGGTTGCTACTGGAAAGTATTAATTTGCAAAAAACTGAGGCCTGACAGATAATGCTTATATTGAAACAAAAAAGCAATTAAATCCTGCAAGACCTATGAATACTTCGTAATTGATATGTTTTCTGCTTTGCTGTTTGATAAATTTCTCGTTAACCGAAAAGCCAAGAACGAACATAGGAACATTTTTATTACATTTTACTGCAGAGCATCTTTCTATTTAATAATTAGACCCACTGTTGAAGATTTTTCTGTCCGAGCTTGCAATAATAATAAGTTACGTAAGTTTTCTCAACTTCATTCACAACACTTTTTTATTCATTTCTTACCGAGCTACAAACTCAAATTTATGGATTACTTGACAGCATTTCATTTCCTGCGGCCAAACTAAATGCAAAATATGCATTGCCAAACTAAACTAAAACTAGAGCAGAGGCAACAACAGCACAACAACAACACAAGAATAACAATAAAAAAAAAAAACGGACAACATAGACTGTGCCAGCTGTTTTCACTGTCTGCTAAGATAAGCAAAGAAAAACTTCCAACAACTTTTGCTGTGGTCATTTTCATTGCAAACAAAATGAAATTGCGATGCATAAACCATCTACAGCAACAAGGACGAATGCCCAACAGCAACACATGGAAATAACAAGAAAGGAATGCTAAAGTCGAGCAGGCTCAACTCTTAAATACCCTGTACCACCCCACAAAAAAGTAATTAAATTAATTAATTAATTTAATTAAATTAATTAACTAAATTAATTTAATTAATTAACTAAATATTAATTAATTAAATATAAAATATTCCATGCATGCATACATACATTTACATTTATATCAGAATCGTGCCTTATGCGTGTTTGTGTACTTGTACATATGTATGTATGTGTGCATTGGGCCTGGTTATATGGCTATAACTTTCTTTCCGATCATTCTATCATAATTAAACTTGGTATACGGATATATAATTACTAATCTAATGTAACTACCAAATTTTAGTTCAAAATTCCAAGAATTACGGGAGTTATAGAAAATCGGTAATAGGGGGGGAGTGGGGGGGTGGATCAGAAAAAATGAACAAACTCGTCCTTTCTCGGTCTCAGGAGAATCTGTATACCAAGTTTGGTTATTCTAGCTCTTATACTTTCGGAGATCCTTGCGTTCATACAGACAGACAGACAGACAGACAGACGGACAGACGGACAGACGGACATGGCTATATCGACTCGGCTTGTCATGCTGATCAAGAATATATATACTTTGTGGGGTCTACGAAGCCTCCTTCTGTCTGTTCCATGTGCACTCGCACAAAACTAATATACCCTTGTACCCTTTGGGTACAGGGTATAAAAAGTACAGTTGTCACAAAAATTGCACACAATAGATAATGCGGAGTGACAGCCAAGCAGCATATGAAATTTAATATTTTAAACGGATGGCAACACAAAATGTAATTTAAAACCAAATATCCCGGCCACATGTTAAGTCCATGTTCCAATACATACACACGTATCTGGTTGGGCTGAATATTAATCGGTTTAATAAAAAAAACTCAGCAAGATTATTCAAACAGTTATTGTATGATTACCATTCATCACCTATAAGCGCTTTTTAGCGAAAATAGAGGCATTTGAATCGAACTACAATTGAAAAAAGACCCATAACTGAAATTTTATCTAATGTAAAACAACCAATGCTAAGGAATATGTGTGGATGTTTAACCACCACAGCAACAACTAGAATATAGTCAAGGACTTGTATTTTTCTGTTGAATTTTATAAATAACAAAAAAAAAAAACATTTAAAGTTTCAAGCCGATTTGCCGCTTATATGAAACAAATAACAAATTCCGTTTCACCAGCGCAAATTAATTTCTTCCACTTACCATTTTACAGAAATTATTGAAGCGTAAATGCGATTAAAATAAAGTGAAGTGCCACTTATTTGAAAACGTATACCCAATACATACATACATATATAATGAATTTTATCGAAGAACTGCAAGCTCTTTTGAATTATTGAATATTCAACTACAATTACTTTTAAAACTACTCTCGGTTACGCACATACAAATGTGTAGAGTAAATATTTTGACATGACAATATGTTTTCACAAGCATGCTTGTTCAAAATTTGATATTCATACACTGGCCGGGTAGGGTGTTGATATGTGAGGAATGCTCCCCGATCGACTTTATTTATTTGTTTTCGTCTCTGCATTCGCAGTTAATTTGTTTAAATTTCCCTTTTTAAATAGAACTCTGTAAATTTGTTTGCCAAAGACGACAACAGTTGGCAGCTACTACTGCCGATGTTGTGGCGTAAGTTTTGCAATTTGCATAACTTCCGCAACAGTTGGGGTATCCATAAATATGCAAAAGGGTTTTCACGGCCTGGCAAATTCAAGTGTCTTAAGAAAATGTCTTAAACAAGTATTATTGTTGTTGTTGTTGTTGTTAAGTTTGGTGTCAGTTTCGTATGAAATAAAGACGGGCTGCACATCATAGAGGTGTGTATAGAAATGACAATAAACAGAATAATTTAAAATTTGTGCATGTTTGCTAAGACTTTTAAAAGTTGTGGGGCTGCCATTCTGTTTATTATTAAGAACTGTGGATTTTAGAGACTGCAATGACTGTTTTGAAAACAATAGCAATAATCAATTCAGTATCACTGTGATAGTAAAATCTAAAGCTACTATTCAAAAGTCTCCCCTAGTTCTATTTATTATTGCAGCTGCCCAAAATGTTATAAGAATAGTGATTACTTTAGAATACTCGTTTCAATATTTGTGATGCTCAGGCCAATTACTTTTCATTACTTAGCATGTGAATGCGAAATTTGGTTTGAAATTTCATTTTGTGTTGCCTTACGTTTCAAATAATTATTAAATCCTCTTACTATGAAATAAATAAACTAAAAATTCATGTTGGGAATGTTGCCCAAATGTGCAAGCATTAGATAATTTAGATCTCCATATTACTTGTCATTATGCTTATTGAAAATATTCATTAAACTGACCAGGCCCTTTCAGTACCTATCGCATTTTGTTCCGCTGTGCCAAGTTTTGTGAATAAAACGGCCATTAAAATTATCATAGCGCGAAAATTTAATTTGCGAAAACTTTTCCAGAATGGCGCACTGCCAAGTGACACAAAACTTTACGCAATATTCATTACAAGTTACTGGCAGAAGCTTTGCATATCACATTTAACACGAAGCCAAGTGTGGCCTGGTTGCGAGCTTCTGCATATACTATATATTCAATTTCTATAGATATTTACGTCGTGTGCATCAACTAATTGCCGCGTAATTATCGTAAAATTTTACAAATGTTAATGCGCCCAAAGTTTCGTCAGACACACTTGAGGGCTTATTACTCATACGTACTGTGGTGCATGAACAGCAATCTGTTGATACTTATACTTTTTTATTTGAATACATACTTTTCTTGTTTCTTGTAACTTTTGCTAAAATGTAAATGCTACTCAGTAAATAATAATGTAATGATAAGTGGCGAACTTTACATCTTAACCTAGCCTTGTTATTGAAATTAAAAAGTAGACTTTATCCCACATTCTATATAATAGAAAAGAGCTAACTGAAGAGTAGATAAATACTTACAAGTTCAATACTACGAAGAGCAATTGTAGAAGAAGTAATAGATAGATATTTAAACTATTAAACAGGGGAACAATGCACTTTATAATGAATTGAAAAAGTAAATCAAGATAACAGTAGCATTTCAATCATTTATCAGCAGTATTTTGACAATTTAATCAACTACTTCGCTCATTTTACATTTCGATTATAAAGTACAAAAATCTAGTTTTTCGTTTTCAACACTTTCGTGGTAGGTGACGAGCATAAAGGGTTTTCCATGCACTTTAAAAGATCGCAGTAATTCTCGCAGTGAAATCATCACAGCATTTTTAGTTAACACAAACAAGCATGGGCTACGATCTCAGCTGCATTGTTGGCCATGTCGATGAGGAGCTCATTTGTCCCATATGCGCCGACGTCCTGGAGGATCCCGTGCAAGCCTCGGGCTGTGAGCACGCCTTCTGTCGTGCCTGCATCGAAAAGTGGCTGAAACAGAAGCACATCTGTCCTGTCGATCGTCTGGAGCTGTCGCCCAGTCATTTAATAGGAGCCTCCCGCCTAATGCGCAATATGCTGGCGCGCCTAAAGATCCGCTGCTGCTTTGCCGAAAATGGTTGCAGCGCTCTCCTGCCGCTGGACGAATTTCGTGCTCATGTGATCGCTTGTGAGCACAATCCCAAGGTGGTGGTTGTGTGCACGAAGGGTTGCGGCATGAAGGTTCCCAAGGATGAACTCGCCTCCCACAACTGCGTGTTCGAGCTGCGTGAGATGGTGCAGTCGCAAATCAACGAAATATCTGAGCTCAAGGACATGCAGACCCACCAAGAAATGCGCATTGATGTGCAGCGGCGGGAACTCGAACTGTTGCAGTACTATATAGCGGCTCTGCGCTCCACGAATCCACTGATCCGAAACATTGGCGAGCAGCTCGATCGTTACGCCGTGATGCAGTGGGGCGGCAGTCTGCCTCTGGCCAGAGTCCGGACTTGGGGCAGCTTGATCTCCACTCCAGACTCGGCCATGCACATGTTGGTGCGCGAGGGACTTCGTGCCTGTGGCTGCCCCATGCATCTGGTGAACCTGATGGTCGATCGCTGCCATGAGGATCGCTGGCCGTCGGGCCTGCTCACGTTGGATTCGCGACGGGAGAATGCCCATCGACTGGTGCAGTATGTGACGCGCATGCTGCCCTCTCTGATCACCGGCAAGCCGTGCATTGTCATATTGAATGGCGACAATGGACACATGCCGGAGAATTTGCGCCCAACTCTGGCGATGATCATGATCTTTGTCGATGGTGTAGATGAGTCGCGACCGGAGTATGAGCTCCCAGGTGATTTCCATAGCGACATTCGGAATACGCCACTAAATATCTAAGTTTTCGGATAATGTTTAAGGGTCAAAATTTTGTTTTGTAATAGCCAGACGTAATTGTTACACAATTCTAAAAATTACAATACCTTCGGTATCACTGTATCATGAGATTCTAGAGTATAATCATATATTTTTGGGGAATGTCGTAAAAATTACATTTTGCTTTATACGTAAGTGTAACTGCATAATGATAATCAAATGCATATATATTTGTAAAATGTATACCATTTGGCTTTATAACTCACTGAAAATGCAAAGTAGTAGTAGAAAGGGTGTTAGACCAAATAAAAACTATAGTGGTAGCATAGCATCTAATCAAAAGCATTGAAGAATGTCTCTTCTTACTATCTTACTTTTTACTCTCTTGGAAATGTAGACTAAAATGTATATAATTCGAGAAGCCTGACTTTCTAAACTTCCAAATATAATTGACTCTTCGATCATATGTGAATTTCCATCGCGTCTCCATCGTAAACCTTCAATTCAAGACAGCTTGTAATGGTCGTAGACTTTGCCTTATACTTATATTTGGTCAACTTTATTTGAGAGCAGTGTCGTGTGGCTGCTATTTTCATGATACTTATCATCTCAAGCGACAACTACAAGTTGAGCAACATATGTTTACTGTCACAATTGGAGAAACAATGCATTTATATGTTTATGTAGCTAAATATTTAATTAAATCAACGCTTCAATCAATCAACGGCAGTTCCTGTCAATCACAACACAACAGCAAACAAAAAGCTCATAACATGCATTCAACAAATTAGTGTCAAATTAAATGCAACTCTTTGTCAACTAATTAAATGCAATGACGCCCTCGAGTATGCCAGAAGAACATAAGTTGATTAAACAAAAGGCCAAGGTAAGCATCGCCGGACTAACTGAGTAACAGACGCTTCCATTCAGGACCTGAACTGCCGATGGCTCCAAGATGCTGCTTCTGCTGCTGCTAGTGCTGCTACCGGTTTATAATGCCGCCAGTGCCCAAAACTTAATTAATATTTACATGAGCTCTTCTAAGATGTGTTGTCCAGGGAAAGGTACTGGCAGTGAAGTGAGAATCGTAGCGCTTTAGTGTTGTTATTACTGATATTGTTGTTGTTGTTAGCATCTAACGTCTGTTCTGTTTGCATGCAGGGAGACAGTACGGCGCCGTCTCTTGTTGCATGGCTGCTAGAAATCAATTCGTATTGTTAACCCATGATTGGATATTATTGATTCAATTTGCTGCCACGCTGCCGAGACATGTTTTATGCATGCCCCTCCCCCACACTCTCCCCCTCCCCTGCGCGCCAATGTAGTGATAATGCCTGTCTGTATTGATAATGGAAAACATGCACACCATCGCACTCAACTGGCTACGACTGTCTTTCGTACATAGTTTAATTTATGCATGTGTTGCACATTGCCAGCAAAAGGTTTGCTGTTGCATAAATGCATGAAGCGGCGCACTGTGGCGTAGCTGTGACTGTACAGGAGGGATCTATATGCTCTATTATAGGTATTAGTACTGTATGCAGGCAATTAAATGGCAATAGAATAGCTAATATTCTGCTCCCTATGAATATATTTAAGAGCAAAGCATTAAGTCTACTAATATAGTATTCGACTTTAAGAAAAGAAACAGAATGCGAGTCTAAATACTAGACTAGCAGTTCCGATTGATTGTGGAAAAAAAGCTACAATTTGTTGCTGGATTTTGATTTAAAGATTTCGGTTATTTGAAGATCACAGTTGGAAAGAAGAGAAGAGAAAATTAGAATTAAAATGTAACTCTTTGCAACAAAACATTCATATATTAAAAACATGCAGTAAAGTATTAATTATAATACATAATTATTTTATATAAATATTGAAACAATAATTTTTATATTATTTCTATTATTTTTCTGTGCTTCTGGTATTTCAAATTCTTCTTTCTTTATTCGTACTCGTATTTCCCTTTCTTTCCCATTTATCGTTTACATTCCTGGCTATGCCACTGGCCTGCTCGTATACTCGTATGACTCATAAAGTCGCTGTTATATCTACACCAGTATTGATATTATTTGTACTGACTGCCTGGTATTGTTGCCGTTTAGGTTGTGTTCATTGTTTTTGCTAAAATGTTTGATGCTGTTGGTGTTGCTTTTGTTATTATCATTGACAATGGCAATGATAACAATACACAGTAAGCACAAACAGACAATGCTAATATTGGACGGCCTTCCACATCCAACCCACACCCATTTGAATTTATTGTTTTGCTCGTTCGAAGTGTTTGACATTTCCTGTTGCATTCAACGCATTTTGATAGACAGCACATATTCGAACAGGGAGTGGGATGGATGAAAATTTGCATTTTGCGTTTCAAAATTCAGGCTCTGCACACAATTATGAATGCACCGATAGCCGCCGAGCGATCCACCTTGGCATAAATCACTTGCCACAAAGCTCAGATGCTGAACAAAGGTACCCGTAATAGAAGGAAAAGGTCCGAGAAATATGCAACAGTATCGGCGCTTAAAAGCCACAAAATGGCAGTAAATTGGTAGCAATTGAATAGAATTGAAAGCCGACGAGCAAGCTAGCGGAGCTGGCCAAGAGGAAGGCACACATCGAAGGGGGAGCTGCGACCAGAGGAAGTTGGTGTTGGTGTTGGCGTGTTGAGTTGTGAAAGCTAAAGGAAATGGCCGACATAACTCGCTGCAATGAGCATCAGAAAACCACAAAAGGCGAAGGATTTTTTCGGACTGAATTCGGTGGAGGTCTGCTGTCGTTGCCTATCCTGGCACCATTGATGTTGAACCGAATTCAGGTAGTTACCTTCTGCCAAATGTAGAAAATCGTGCAGCAGTCTTCAATAGTTGGTTTGCTATAAAAGCGAGTTAAAATCATTTTGTTTCCTTTTTTAATCGCAACAATAATTTAATTGTTAACAGCAATAAATACAAGCTTGTTTCTTGTCAATTATATTTAAGCGTTTACCTTAAATCTAATTAAAATTAGTTTGTATCTAGGGATGAATTTCCATGAAATAAAAAAAATAGGAAATAAATTTTAAACTTATTGATTAGTTTTTAATAACATTTTCTTTGCCACCCGGCGATGCAAAGCAAAGACATGTGAGAGTCGTTAATAGGCCCGCAAATAAACAATTATTTTCATTAGGAAAACATAATATTAACTGCAGTTGCTTATTCTTAAACCACGAAATAGGTCTATTTTATAACATATGGATAGAAAATCTCTTTAAAGTAAAACTGGAAACACAATTGAAATGCTCATCTCATGATTGTACTCCAACAACTGATTGAATAAATGAAGTAGTATAGAATGGAATATTGCGCTTGCAAATTGATTGCCTCAAAAAATGATCAATATTCAATACGTTTGAATTGAAAGCTCTTCGTTTGAGAATCAATATTTGTTAGTCCTGTTTAACAGAAACTGCGTTTTGCTCCAAAGTTCAGTTTTTACACAGCGCCTAGCCTTACACAGCATTTGGAACAAGCGTCAACGATTTATTTACGCCATTGAGCGCATAAAACACCAAAGTACAGTCACAAATTATGCACACCCTGCCAACTAACTTGCTCACTTGTAACCAATTGACATATTTTACTTTGGAGGCCCTCGAACGGCTTAGCGCCTTATCCAATTTATGTACCTGGATAGCCGAAATATCCCTTGGTATGTGCACGTATCCGTTGTGTACGAGTGTGTGTGTGTGAGCGCATTTGTGAGGGGCTAGGCAAGTAATAAAAATTTAATGGGAAATATTAAGTACACATTAATTTGATTTATTTGTGTGGGCGGGAGAAATGTTGCCTATATTTATTTTTATTTGACTTGAAGAGTTTCATTTTGGATGGGGAATTGTGTGTTATTTTAGGACTGGAACCGATTGCTAGACAGCTGAGGAATGAGCTGAGTATTATGGGGTAAGGCATTGAGTGTGAAAATATAACCAATGTGAAAATCAAACAGAATGTTGGCAGGTTTAGAAAATGGGCAGTATTTTTTCAATTTCTTACATTTATTTCCATTCTCTCCGAATACCAGGTTTAGATGTTTGAAGGACCTACAACTAGACAAAGAAAAACGTTCTAAGCTATTAAATTTGTTTGCTGGTTTGTTCTTTTGTGTGTATTTTTTGCCGACATCTGGTTTGATTTGTTTTGATGGCAACCCCAAGCTAGAGAAGCTTTTAATACATACTCGTACGTACATATATACATTTATACATATACTAAGAATATAAGGAAACAATGTACAGAAGGCAAACAGAGAATCTGCGGCTAATTTACTTAATACCTTTGCAACATAGTTTCTGACATATAAATTGTTAAGTTTAATCATAAATTCAGTTTTTGCTGTAGTTAGAAAAATGTTAAAACTGCTTCAACAGACATTTTTCCAATGCTTAGTTAGGCTAAAGCTTGAAAATACGAGTGTAAACATATTTTCAAATGTTGGGTATCATATTTTTCATGCACATGACTTGTAACTTTGCCTGCAAAGTCCGGTGAAATATTTGATGAACTGCAAGGCTCTCGGTAACATTGCAAGCTCAGTGAGCGGTAGAGCCCATGGAGAGCCATTGGGCCAGCCCTTTACTAATACTTTGACTTTGCTAGCAACAGAAATCAGATTGTACAAATCTGCAGATGGCTGTTTGTGTGTGTGCTTATAAGCTGCAAGGCAGGTCGTTTACGTATTTGCATAAACTACAAAGGACATTTTGGCCAAGTTACGTAACGTTGGACACAAAGAATTGACAAAATATTGCACAACTGCAGATACAGTTAGGAAGGAAGCAAAGGCATATGGCTAGCTAAGTACTTTGTGATTTTTTTGTTTGCTATCATTCGACCATTTTGGACAGTTGTCAGTGCCACAAGAATGACTGTAAATTCCCTCTTCTTTTGTGTGTGTGGGTGTGTGGACCCCTCTGTCGACTACATTTTTGGTTTCGATTGTTTTCGCTTTTTCACTGTAGTACTGCTGTTCGCTTTTCTGTCTTTTGTCTTTCACGCATATTTGCTAAGCTCTTGCATTTTAGCAGCAATTTACGCTCTTAATGCAATCAGCTTTCCTCTCGCTGCTTTGGCTAATGCGCTTTAAG